TTTTTTTTGTTTGTTAATTTCAATGAACTGTCTACATTACTATATGCTTAGTTGAGCAACGAGAGAACACTCTAATAGCTTGTCAAACATGTTTCTGTGCGTGTCTGTAGATATTTATAATCTGGTTTTTTCTTTCTTCACTTTCTATTGTTTTTCACGATAAAAATGTCATTGGAACGTTGGTTTTCAAATGAATAGAATCTAATTAATGAAAGATCTGTTTAAATTTTTAATTTAGTTTGAATAATTCTAGAATCCATCAGTATTCTGAAAAAATTATTAATTTAGAATAATTATCATATATCTTTTAAATTCTATTTTATATTAATATAATTATACTCGATAATATTTAAGTAACAAAAATATGTCTGATATAGTTCATTAATCTAAACAATGAATTTCAAATAGAAGTTTCTTATCAAATGAATAAAACTATTTTAGACAGTACAAGAAATGCAAATATTCATAATATTTTACCAATTGATAAAGACTCTTGTTTTTTTGTTTTTCAAATGAATTATATTTATATGATTAACTATTAGGTTTTAGTTGATGATGACATTTCTTTTTTTAAATTCATTTCGAATTAGTTTACTCGAATAGAAGAAAAAAAAAAACGTTAGTCTACAAAAACTCGTTTCATTTTCAATAACAATTAAATTTTTCTTGTAATTTACTCTTATTATCTAATAGATACTTTTATCATTGACAACAAAGATGAATCTCTTTTCATGCTTAGTCAATCTTAAAATTCTCAAAAGAAATTATTTGAACATATTATAAATGCATGTATGATTTCGTAGGCGATTAGACATATATCTACGCAGTCACCTTTAAAACAAAAAAGAGACAGTTGACAATATTACGCAGTTTTAAATAACTTTAAAGAATGTACGCAATTGAGATTTTCCTCAGGGTAAGACATATGACATAAGATAATTAGTTTATTCTTATGTCTGAAATCATAATTTAGTTAAACTTAAAATAATTTGATCTTTTTTGCTACTGGTTAAACCTGGATGTCAACAACAAATATTCACACTCTAGAACGTTAAATTAATTATGACTAATATGTCCAAAACAAAAAAAAATAGTGTTCAAATAGATCTTCAGCAAACTTAAAAGAGAAAGAAATATTAAAAAAAAACAAAGTTGATCTAGAGTAAATCATGTTTTTCTCTAGTAGTGTAAAAATGAAATTCTAATTTAATTAATTTTTACTTGTTCTATACTTTAAAACTTGTAAATTTTTTATAAAATAATATAAATAGATGCTATAAGGCATGACGAAATTGATTATGCTTTTAAAGCATTCATTGTAAATTAGAAGAGAACGTATGTTGATTTCAAGGTCTTACAAGTATAAACATTAGTCATTACTGAAAATGTGTAGCTTATGTTTTATGACATAATGCTCGTTTATAATCATGAGTCATGTACTAATGTCTTGATATATGTATACATTGATGTCGTTTAAAAAGAAAAGATCTTCAGATGTAATTTGCTAATAGAACTAATAGATATTTGATTATTTTTGAACATTGAATATTTCTCGACAGTCAATGTATCATTAGATTATACTTTTTTTTGTTTTTTACTTAAAATTTATATAAAAAATTAATCCTATAAATTGAAACTTTTTTTTTTGTATGATTGATTTTTTCATCATATTAAACAAATACTTCTGTACAAAAACGACCATCTACACAATTCTTAAGGAAAAAACTAAATGTCTTCTACAATTACATATATGATGTTTCATAAATTACTCGTATTAATATTTCAAAAATTATATTATTTAATAATATATGAATGCAGACAAGATATGTCGTCAGAAATTGATAGAATGCATGACAATGTTACATAAAGAATGAAATATAAAGATTGTTTTTTGACTTTTGTAATAAATTATTTAATAATCGAGTTTTACGTAAAGAAGATAACGCTAGAATTGCTTATATATGGTTCATTGCAAGTACATATAAATGATTAAAGTAAAAACTTCGAGAACAATTTTCAAACCATAAATAACTATAAATTAGATTGAAGAAAGAATGAAAAGAATAATTTCTAATGATTAATAAAACTCGTTATAGACATGATTAATTAATAAAAAAAAACTGTAAAGACAACAAATATTTTACAGTTCAATGAGATTTTTTGTTTTTTATTTAATAAAATATCTTGTGAATCAATTGCAAAAAATTTATTCTCATATTAATATTTTTATTGTTCCAAAAAGACGATATGAACAGTATGCTACGTAGTTTCTTCCATAGACAACAATAAAAAAAAAAGCGAGTGAATCAATTGCAGACCTCGCAGCATGTGTACTTTCCTGATTTTTTTAAGGTGTCCTGATTTTCCTGCTTTTGACTGAAAATCCTGATTTCTCAAGATTTATCTCTGTAGGACCACATATACGTCATTTTGATGTTTTATTTTGCTATACTCAACGTTTCTTAAAAATTCTATGAAAATATTTGTTGAATATTTTCTATAAAAAGAAAGATGGTACTCAAATTTTTATTTTGTCCATTTTTTTTCTTGTAATCACTTTAAGAATCGATTATTTCGAATTAATTGGTTTTTGAAAGCAGCTATTTTATCATTAGTAATTATCACCAGTACTTCGGCGGTAATTATATCACACAGTTCACGATCGTGTGTAGCTGCACTAAATCTTCTATTCCCTTATTTTCACATTTTAGTCGATTTACTAAAGTTTTCTTGTAAACGCTTTTATTCGTTTATCTATAACATAGTTGTTTTATATATGCGAAGAGCAGGGATATGAAGAAGAGGAAAAGTAGCAGAGAGGGAAAGGAAGTGTGATGCAGGGAAATTGTTTGAGTGCCGAAAAGATGGTTATAGAACCTTAAAAACTGCGAAAATGCGGATTTTTCTTATTTCTTTTCACGGCTATTTTCCTGATAAAAATGCGATTTCGACTAGAAACAAATAAGACTCCAATAGTAAAGGATGCCTCCTTCCGTAGGCCACGTATCTGAGAAAAAGAAAACGTATACACAATGCATAATTAGAGATATCGAACGAAAAGGAAAAAAGCAGAACTCGAAGCACGTATTCGTCGAAATATATAGTAATTTCAATGAACTATCACTGATTAACATACTTTTGTGCAGCTTTCATCCTGAACAATAGTACTATGATAAGACTTAAAATGTCCTGATTTTTTTTTATTTTTGTCTAGATTATTTTCCTGATTTTCAGACATAGGCCGCTGCGACTCCTGATCTACCGATGTAGCTCGATGAAACAGGTTATTTTGCAGAAGATTCAGTATATCGACATTTTAAAAAGAAAATATTGAACAGGAACATTAGACACTGACAAAGGATTCTCATGGAAGAATAGTTTTGTGGATTTGACGCTGCCATCGAAATGCTTCTATTATTACAAAAGTTCGATAGAAAGATTGTTTGTCATCATAAAAAAATGCCTTAGGTAATTTTATTCAGCATAATAAACCCAAAAAGTTGTCTATTAAAAAAATCGACGTGTTTGGTATTTACATGTGAAACTATCTGTGATTCTACAAAAGCGAAAAAGATTTTTACTATTTTTCTATATGTGATCTTTCATTGTTCAATAGAATGGACAAATGATTTGATTGCCCAAAAGATTTGATTAACTGCTGGCTTAGGACAAGGAATTCATTTGAAGTGAAAATTTGTATAATCAAATCAATGTCAGTCAAAATTGACGAAGTTGACAGAAGTACGATCGCAAGCGTTAGAAGAGAGAAAGCATAAGGCAATAATTTCTTTTGAGAATTAGTGTCCTGAATTTCGTTCATAATAAGTTAAATGCAAATATTACAAGTGAATTATGCAACTCAAGAGAAAACGCAAGATGTGAGAAAAAAAAGACAGACAATTTACATATATCTGGAAATTCTATTTGAAGAATAGAGAGATGATCAGATTGTAGATCGAATAGGACTGAAATATTTCTTTAATGAGAGACATGAAGTGTTGGTCCAAAGTACCGAGCATAATCACAGATGCTATTCTTCTTTTTAAGTTATTAATATAATTGATAAATTGATTTGTGTCAACGCATATTTTGATTGAAGTAAATATAAGCAAATACGATCGATTTATAACGTTTATTGGCTTGTTCGAAAAGTCATAAAACATGTTTTCATCGATTGTATGATAGTGATTTTGCTAACCAATCGGAAACTGTTGATAGCATTGAGGAAATACACATCTATAGGTCACTAAAAAGAACCTTGAGCTTCATACTGACACTATAGTGAAGCTTCTATGAGCATGATTGTTGCTGATATCATAATTGTGCTACTAAAACTTCATTTTCTTTATACAACTTTATACTATCGAATTTGTTTATATTTAGTTTAGAAATGAATATAAATTTCTTTGTTTATCATGTCTATCTTATAGTTCAATAGTTCATAATAACAGAAACTGTAGATTGAAGTGTAATCCGATTGTTTTTGATAAATAAGACACAAAATAGATGAAACAATCCGATCTATTATGAAGTTCTCTATTTCTCTTAAATCCACATTGTGTTTGATAAAACATCTTTTAAATACATATTCTTTTCATAATATTTTATTACCAATATTCAAACAAAATTTTATTTGTTTATTTGTAAAAAAAAAAAAGAAAAACAATTTATCTATTTTATTATTCTTTGAGGTTTCGGTTGCATTTGCTCAAGTTTCCAATCATCTATTGAGATTATTTTATGTGATATTTTCATTGATTCTTTTCGATTTGGACATAAATTAAATTGATCAAGAAA